TGGTCAGTGTGGTGCATTGCACATGAATCCAGTCTCTCTTAAATGAAATGTTTCATCTCTTCTGACTCTCCTGGGACATGGAGATTGCTCGATTTCTGCATTGTTTGCATCTTTACTCCCAGACTGGACCCTCTTCCTCACTCAGGAATCAGCTGACTCAGGCTGGGCAGCTGCTGCTTCAGGTCCCCTGGTTTTTCTCTGGGGCCCTTGGTGCTGATGATTGGCATAAACTGTACCTGGTGCTGGGCTACCCACTGACATCTGTTATCTCATTCAATCCTCATAGCAGCCCCATGGAGATAAAAGGTGTTATCTCCACTATAGAGATGGGGAGACTGAGGCTCAGCAAAGTCTGTAACTTGTCCAAGGTCATAAAGCCAAGAAGTGGTGGTGGAGCTGGGATTTAACTCTGGGTCTGTCTGACCCCAGGCAGGTATACTTACAGCTTGGCCCTGGGCTTGGTCAGTTGGTTATTTGTGAGTGCTGTGATGCCTATAGTAGGTGACTGCCCACCTGAACTCAGGGCACCATGTTCTGTGTTTTCTGGGTCCATGTTGTTCTGGTGTCATCCAGCCAAGGATGTCAGCCTGCTTTGTGAACCTTTGAGGTAACTCCTGATAAAGTCTTGAGGCATGCTCTGCCAGGGTTGGGAGGCCCTTGTGCCCTAAGGTAACAGATATTACTGATAGGATTGGATGGCAGCAGTATCCCGCAGAGTGCATTTTGAATTTAAGTCTTAGTTCTGTCACTGATTTTCTGTCAGGTGTGTAGGAAAACCGCTCTTAGCCTTAGTTATCTGGGGTTTATTTGAGACAGAGTCTCACTCTATTGCCTCAGTAGAGTGCTGTGTTGTCACAGCTTACAGCAGCCTCCTCCCCCTGGGCTTAGGCAATTCTCTTGCCTCAGCCTCCCAAGTAACTGGGACTACAGGTGCCCACCACAACGCCCAGCTATTTTTTGCTGCAGTTTGGCTGGGACCTGGTTCGAACCCGCCACTCTCGGTATATAGGGCGTGCCCTACCTACTGAGCCACAGGCGCCACCCACCACCCTCACCCTACCCTCCTTATCTGTTTTTAATATCTATGTTGTATCTGAAGTGGAGGTGATTCTCAAGCTTACAAGGTTTCAGTGAGAATTAGATGGTAGAAATGAAGATTTTTGGAACATAAATAGTGGTTATCTTAGACTAGGTTCCTAGAAAACAGTGCCTGAGGCAAAGCTTAAGCACTTAATGTATTATTAAAAGGTATAATTGCAGGGCAGCCAGGGTGAAGAAAGAGAAGATTGGGAAGCAAGTTCAAGGTGGTGATTTAGCAAGCTGGCCATGCTGCCATTCTGTACATCTCTG